GCCCTCGGCCCCCACCGGCTCTCCGGGCTGGCGCGAGGGGGAGGAGGAGGGGAAGATGGGTGTGGAGGGGCCTCGCAGCGTCGGTGGTGGCGTCAGCGGCTGCCTCGGCCCCATTGGCCTCCAGCCTTGGCTCCCAACCACAGGAATGCCTGGGCCCCACCCTCTGGCCGGCGGGGACGGGGCGGGCAGCGGAGGCCCCCAGATGCTGACATCTGGGGCTGCCCACTGGAGCCTGGGTAGCAGAGCTCCAGGTTGCTGCCCTCCTCATTTCTTGCCCCCTCCAGCTGAAAAAGGAATGGGAGGGCACGCCCTAGGCCCTCCCTGTCACCCCCTCCAGGCCTGAGGGGGCACGGCAGGGCTCTGGGCCGTAGCCTGCCTAGCTTCAGCCTTGGGGTGTATGAGCAGGGCCTTTGAGATTTGAGGGGACGTGTGCACCTCTCTGGGCCCCCATTCTTGTCTCCCCCTCGCCAGGAAGGGCAAGGGGACAATTGAGGTCAGGGGGTGGAGGTTCCCAGAGGGGAATGGTGCCAAGCATGGCACTATGATTACAGTGATTATGAGAACACATCCAGGGTAGAAGCCAGCACTGAGGGCCTCCTGGGCTTGGCACTCAGTCCTCCCCTGGGGGGCAGTGAACTTGGGGGCAAATAAGCTGACATCTGGCTGAGATCCATGAGACTAGGGAACTGGGCACTGGGCAGAGAGGACTGCCCTGGGCTCCAGGTCAAGGCTGGGAGGGGGCACAGAGAGAGACAGCATGTGCGTGTGCATGTGTATGTGGAGTGTGTGGGGCTAACAGGTACACATGTGAGTGCACAATATGCCACCTGTAGTGTCCATGGCATCTGCTGTGCCCAATGCCGAGCTCTGGGTGTGCAGAAGTACCTGCGGGGGGAGGGGAGCTTGGACTGGGCATCATGACGGTGTAAGGTTTGGTTACAGTGATACTGGTGAGCGCTGGCACCTGTGCTGTGCTGGGCTGGAGCGTGCTGCGATGTTTGTGGGCATGTGTTGTGACAACAGGGAGCGTTTGTGATGTCAGTGAGTGGTAAGAAGTTCAAGTGTGTGTGTTGTGATACACTGTATATGTGTTGTGTTGTGGGGAACAGAGATACTGAGAAGTATGTTGTGCTGTTGTGATGTCTGTGCTGTACTGTGATATTTGAGGGGGCCGTGTGGGAATGGGTACCTGTGTGCAGCACTGAGAAGTTGTGTGTGTGGTGGCGTGTGCCTGCTGTGGTGTGCTGGGTGCATTGTGTGTGTGTTTCATGTACTGTGGTGTATGGCCTGCTAGATGAAGGGGTGCTGAGGGGTTGTGTTGTGTGGCTGTGTAGCTGGCATGTTCTGCTTGTATACTGAGTGGTGCGTGGTGTGTTGTGTGAATGAGAGCACACGATAGTGGGGTGGGGTGTGCTGTGTGTGTGGACACAGCTATAGGAAACACGCTCACTTGGGGCCAGGCAGGGAGAAGGTGTCTCACTGGAGAGGACAGAAACGTGCCAGTCTGGCAGGGCCCGCTGGGCCACTCTCCTTCCAGATACCCTGGCAGGAATCCTGTCTGCCTAGGCCGGCGCCTTCCCCTCCCCTAACGCAGAGCAGCCCTGAATGAAGCAACAACCAGCCCCAGCCCAGGGATGGGCCTGGCATCCCTGATTGGGCAATGCCAGGCTGGTGCTGCCTCCTCCACTCTCTTCTCTGCCCGCAGAGGGGAAGACACAGGAGGGAGGCCCAAGGAGAAAGGCTGGCCTGCCCCTCGAGCCCCAGGGGTTTTCCATGCCAGGCTGCAGAGCAGGACTCACCAGCTGGAGGATGTCTTCATCCCTGGGCATGATGGAGAGCTCCAGAGCATCATCGCTGCAGAGACAGGGCAGGGGGTGAGGCCCAGCTGAAGCCACAGGGGCTGGGAGAACAGGGGTCCTGGTCGCCAGGGCACCCCCAGGGCCAAGGGGACGGGGTGTGCAGGGACTCGGTGAGTGGGCAGGAGAGATTATGGGAGAAGAGAGGCAGGGCGCTCACCTGTTCTGGATCAGAGCTATGACCTGGGAATAGGTCTTCCCAACGACACTCTCCCCGTTCACCTTCACCAGCCGGTCTCCTGGGGACAAAGGGCAGGACCACGGGTGAGCAGACCACGGTGTATCAGTGGCCTCACCTGAGTACTCAGTATGGACGTCAATACTCAGAAGACTCCCTAATTAATACCTGGGTCCAAGAATCCCATCCTAAGCAGAAGGTAGGGAGAAGAGACCCAGAGGGGTGCAATGAGCCCCGTAACTGGGACAGCTCACCTGTGCGAAGCCCTGCCCTGTGGGCAGGGCCCTCATCCTTCACATTCTTGACGAAGATGGTATCCATGGGCTCCAGGCGGTGCCGGGGGGAGGGTCCTGGTGAGCATCAGCCAGGTTAGCTGGGGGAGGCTGCTGAAGGTCACACCCATGCATAGCTACACACACAGAGGACACACACTCAGAGAACAATCACACTCACACAGACACAGAGACCCGCACATGCACAAGGGCACGGATGCACAGGGGCAGACAGGAGGACACGCTCCTGGGAGAACAGAAACCTACACAGATGCAGAGCAGCTCCTTATGCCTCCTGCGTCCCAACACTGCGCTAGAAAGTGGACTAAAAAGGCCAGAGAGACACTGTTCCTCCCCTTCTTAGCTCACTGTCTAGTGGGACAGGCAGACAGACAGACAGACACACACACACACACATCATAAGACAAAGGAAAGGGTACCATAAAAGAGGCTGTATCAAGCCCTGCAGACACACCAGCAGGGAGGGACACTCCCATACACAGAGAATGTCCACACCCACAGGCCAGGGGGAGCTGCAGAAAGGCCCTGAAGCTCACAGACTCCCAACACCCACACCTCCAACATCACATTATACCCCAGCAATACTCTTCTGCTAACTGTCTCCACCAGAGAATTGGGCCTGTTCTAGGTCACCTGGCTCCTTTCCATCACAGGCCTCTGTGATGATGACTCAGGAAGACAGTGTCCCCCTGGCTTCCCTGCAGAAAGCCCAGTGGCAGAGAAGGAAGGCTTCCTGTTCAAGGACTTCTGCCTTGAATACCCTGGGGAGCCTGGGTGCCAGTAGGAGATCCTTTGAAATGGCAAGGGTGACAGCCAGGGGGCGTAGGCTCATACTGGAAAAGATAAGATCTCAGGGTCCCCCTACTTATGCTCAACATATCCTCAAGGACAGCCCTTGATCAGCTGCACCTCACCAGCAGCCCCCAGGCCCTGCAGCCCCTGTGTGTGCCTCAGCTTAAGCTAGCAATAACTCCAGGGCAGGGGCCAGGTCTTAGAAATCCATCTGCTCCCAGAGTGCCACTTCTAGCGTGAAATGGAAAGACCCAGAGGGAGACAAATGTGAGAAAAGAAAGGGAGGCTAGAGAGAGAGAGCAGATGTCCAGTGGCCACACAGAGAAGGGCAAAGACAGGAACAGCCATCAAGGGTGAGAGGCACAGCAAAATCCAGGCTGACTTGGGGGAGAGGGAGGGAAAAAGAAGCTGGAGGATGAGTCCCGGCTCTGCCCCAGTCCCTGGGGCCCATCCCCTCAACACTCCTTACCTCCTCCTCGGCCTCCATTCTCTTCCTCCTGCGGGGGACAGAGAGATGGGTGTTGGCCCTTAGTCCAGCCCTCAACAGCACAGAGGGAGGCCCAGCTCCACCTGGGCGGGGCCTTTCAATCTCCCTCACCCAACGGCCTACTCTCTTATCTTCTTCAAGTAGCCCAGTGCCTGGAAGGGGTGGGAGGGGTGTCTATGGGGACATCAAGTCCCAGGCATGATTCCCCAATGACATGAGCTCTCTCTCATGCTGATCTCACTATGTCAACATCTCAGCCATCTGGAAGCTCCCAATCCAATGGGGGACCCATGACCCCTTCCCTTGGGGAGCTCAAACCAAACATACTAACAGAGAGAGAACCAGACAGACACAGATAAGCAGGCGTGACAAGTGCAAACAGTGGCTGTCAGGTCTTAGAGAATGGGAGGGCAAGGCCTGATTAGTGTTCCCCTGGGGGAGGGAATTTTAAGGCTCTGGGTGAGGGAAGGGGAGTGTGCAGGCCCTTGGTATCAGAAATAAGCAAGCAAATGTAAGACTGAATCAGCTGAGCTGAAGGAGAAAGTCAACACCAGCAAGCCACAGAAGTTGGACTAAAACATTTGAGTTTGAAATGAGAGAATGAGGGAGCCAGTGAAGGTTCATGAGTGGGAGAGAGCAGATGTAAAAATACCAGTTAGAGAAGAGGATTCTGGCATCTAGGTACAGGGCTAAGAAACTGAGTCAAGGGGACCCATTAGGGAGGCCTCTGGGAACAGCCTAGTGAGTGAGGGGGAAGGACACTGGATTTGGGGAGGAAACAGAAACTAGAGAAAGGAGAAGGTCAGAGAGACACAAAAGGCCAGGAGGAAGGGTATTTTAGAGCAGGATCTGACCATCGGCGTCATCTTGTCTAACCCTCTCCACAGATTATCCATTTTACAGATGACTTATAGCAGAGCCAGGGCTGGAACCCAGGACTCTGGCACCCCAGCCAGGACAAGAAGAACTCCGGGCACTGTTGAGAGTCCCTCTGCCCTTGGCCCTCCGATGTGAGGTGTGTGCCCACTGATATGAGCTGACAGCACAGGAAGCAGGTGGTAGAGGCAGGCAGATGCATTTAGATGGCTGAGCTCCCTGCAAGGCCCCAGTTCTGGGCAGGTTCTGGAAATGGAGCCAGTCCCTGGCCTACCCTACTCATGTGAACTAGGTCTCTCAAAGACAAGCCCACCACTCAGCCATCTAGATCACTAAGGCTGCTTTTGCCCTGGTGACCCCTCAGCAGGGACCTCTGAAAGAAGCTGGCAGGGGTCAGGAAGAAAGGGCATTCTGGAAAAGCAAGAAAGACAGAACTAAAGATTCCAAGGAACTAGGGGGCTGGTATCCGTGGGCATCAAGGGGTGGGACAGTGCCCCTCCCATATACCATCAGCCCTCACTTACACTCAGAAGCATAGCTGCAGCCAGTGAGAATAGTTGATGCAGCCCCCTGCCCCAGATTCAGACATGGCTAGGAGAGTTGTACAGCCATGTACACATGATGTGTATTTACAGGCACCAATATGCACATTTACATACACACGCGTGTGTACATGACCAGCACGCTGTGCATGCACATGTGCCCACAAAGAGCCGTGCGAGCACACAAACACAGGCAGTGATATCCACTGTCTAGTTTCTCTGGCAAGTGAGATCAAGCTCCTGAAGGGAGAGTCCCCCAACAGCTGTGCAAACTGGTCCCAGCCCTGGGGGAAGGGGAGAAACGGGTTCGTTGACTCCAAAATAAATTTTCCTCCTCTGCTGCTGGGAGAGACTTGGGAAAGGGAGCCAGTCCCTCCTGGGGAGCCCTGGCTCTTGCCTAGGGCCCCTCATGCCTTCCTGTATGTCTGCTTCACTTTCAGGGACCACTCTTCCCAGCTGACACTGTAGGTTGGGCCAAGCAGCCTGGTTCCTGGACTCAAAAGAACTTGACATTTACATGAGGACTGGAAGGGGCCTTAGGGGTCAAGTAGAGAAATGCCCTTGGGTTATAGCAAGAAAAGTGAAGCCCAGAGATCCACCATGAGTTAGGAGTTGTACCAGGGTGAGAACCCAGGTCTCCTTCATCCCAGCCAAGTGTTCCTTCCAGCACAAAGACCTGAAGCCGGCATGAGCCTGGGGTGCTCTGGGAGGGGTTCCAGAGGGATGTTAAGACAGACTCACTGAGAACTCAGGCTGAGAGGGAGTGACAAACCCAGCTCAGAAGTGGCCAGTGGACAAGGGGTCCTAGGACTGCATCTCTCCGAGCAGGCTGTCCACCTTCCAGAGACCAAGATCTGAAGTGTGAGCAAGCATCCTGGCTCCCCCATTTCTCAGTTCCCTGTCCTGAACCTGCCACCCCTCCCCTCTCTTGAGAAGATGAAAGTCACCTAGGCCACAGAAGAAAGACCACAGAGGGAAGGAACAGTGCAAAGCAATCTCCTCTCCCCCATCAAGGCCTCCTCAGGACGGGCCAGGGCAGTGGGCGAGCTGGGGGTACCTTCAGGCTGCTATGCACGGCAGACTCAGGTGGGTACACGATGAAGTGGCGCAGGGTGAAGCCAAAGCCATCCTGGAGACTTTTGTGCAGCAGCAGTGTCCGTGGCCCCTGCCAGGGGAGGGGTCGCCCAGGAGAGCACGCATCTCTAGGGCCCAGTGGCAGCTGTGGGAGCACAGGAAGACGGGTGAGTGGCCTTGTGGCCCACAGTCCCAAGTCTGTACACTGCTTCCTGCAGCCCAGAGAACCTGATGGGGATTGGACGGGATCCATGGGGTTCCAGGCACCCTCCTCTGCCCCTGACCTCCTCTTCAACCTTTCCTTCCTCTCTCATCCTCATCAGCCCAACAGCTTTTTCCTTCTTTCTTTCCTCTCAGTCCCCTCATGACACCTTTGCCTCCAAGGAAATAACTCATTGCAGTGAGCCAGGTGTTGGTTCAGTTCAGTTCACCAAATGTTCACTGAGCACCTACTGTGTGCTGGGCACTGGACGCAAAGTGCCTACTGCTGTCGGAGCTCATTCCAGCCGCTGCACAATCTCACACACACACACACACCCACACACACTCATGCACACGGAACACACCACAACACCCAGACAAGCGCACTCATGTGAAAAGTGCACACACACAGAAGAGTACACACAAGCACTCACGCGGGCAAGGAGACATGTGCACACACAGTCGCACATAATCAGTCTCGCTCACACAGTACACGCCACACATACAGACATACACATGCACAGGTGGACTGGTCCCCCACACACATCCTTCAGGAGAACAGATTGGGGACTAAGAGCCACAAAGGAGTGGACTGGACATCAGACAACTGAAGGGACTTCCTGAGGCTCAGGAGCCCATCCCAGAAGCCTGGCTGGTTCACTGGAGCAGAGTGAGAAAGCAGGTGGGGGGACATTTCGTTGCCCTCTGACCGGCTTGCTGGAATACTTGAGATTCCCCAGAATGACATGGCAGAGGATGTCTGAAGGCAAGGATTTGAGGACACACAGGACTGTTTCTGGGACAAGCAGGAGGAGAGAATGGACAGTGCCTGGGGGAGGGCTCCTTTCAGGTCCCCTGCTCAGACACAGAGAGGAAAAGTGAAGGAGGGTGTCAGAGAGATGTGTTCACAAGGAGGCAGAGGGCTGATTGGAGAAGATGGGAGCCAAGGGCAGAATGCCTGGGGAAAAGCCGCAAGGCCTCCCTTGGGGGCTCTTCAACCCCCCACTTCAGGGAGCCTAACCTAACCCCTCAGAGGACAAGAAGCTCCTTCATCCCCACCCTACACAGTCCTCAACCCCCTCGCTCCCCCTTGGCACTGGAAAGAAAGGCGAGGTTAGTGCAGAAGGAAGACCACTAGTTCTGGGAGGAGTGGCTCCCACTTTGCCATGAAGTCCCTCTTCCTTCCCTGTCTGATAGCTGGAAAAAGCTCAAATTTGCCACCCAAACGTACTGATACTAAGAAGCTCCATCAGATAACCATCCACTCTGTTAACACATCTGCTGGAAAAAAGCCTGCCCTTTGTCCAGTGCTATGCTGCACTCGGTTGGAAAGATTAAAGAAAAGTATGACGCAGGCAATAGGCTTGCTCCATACAGCCCCAGGGGACACAGTCAGGTGGGTGATACAAGAGGCTGAGTGAAGCTCCAGGCCGAGGTGACCATTCTAATGTGTACATCTGGAAAATGACCGGATGAGGTTGTGAGCTCTCTGACCTCGCAAGGGTCCAAGCAAAAGCTGGACGACCCCCAGTTTAGCTAGGATTCGGGCATGAGGTCAGAGGTCCAGTGAGGGCCCCTCAGTTCCTTCCACCTATGGCAGTAGCCTGGACTCTCCCACTTAGTTCCACAGTCCCGTGGGTGTCTGAGGGGCCCAGAGAAAATTCTCTGGGAATTCTACTGAGGTCTGAAATCCCTTGGATTTCTGATCTCTGCTGACCCAGCAACGAACTGATCGTGGAGAAGAGAGGACCTCAGGAGACCCTCCAAATGCCCCCTCCTCTCCAGTGTGGGCAGCCTCCCCTGCACACCCTCCATCCAGGCTCAGAACTAAGGCTGTTTGCAGGGCCCATTGTTTTGCTGGTGTCCTGGATTAAGGTTTAAGCCACCAGCTGCCCCAGTGATGAGAAGTGGCTGAGACAGGTCCCCGCATGCCCCCCGCCCCTCCCCCAGCACACATCCTGCCTGGAGCTGCCAGCTGCCTGGGGGTGCTACCCTCTGGGGGGCCTGCTTGTAATCTAGGGCAGGAGGCATGCCGCCTTCTCTCAGGTCCCCTCCTCGCCCAGGCACCGCTGGCGCCCCCACACTTATCTCAGCCTCTCCCTTTCCTCTTTTCCTTCCCTCCAGTTTCCCTTCCCCCATCCTTTCCAACTACGCTCCTGAGAATGTCGGTGTGATAATCTCCCTGCCACAGCTACCACACTCTTGCCTGAAGGGGAGACACCGGAGCCCCATCAACAGCCAGGTGTGGCAGCCCCACCGTAGGAAGTTCTCTTCCATAGGTTTAACCTCAATCCTATGCTATTATACATGCAGGTTTCCTTTCCTCCCCTCCATTCGACCTGGGACAATACCGGGTCTTGCTCTCATCCTGAGGGAGAGAAAGGTGATAGATGCAGGAACAGAGAAGCAGCCAGCAATGAGGAAGGAGTACAGCTCACACACATCTCCAGCTCTGCTCTGAGGTAGGCACAGAGATAAGGGGATACAGAGGGAGAAGCTCAGGGAACACAGGGACATCACTCACTAATGCTCTCCTGCCCCAGATCTGCTTCCAAACGCTCCCACCCTCGTGTCAGGAAAGAAAGAGACATCCAGAAATACCAATTGATTCTGGGAGGACAGACAGCCTCAGGGCCACAAATTAGACAGAACCTGGCGGGTTGGCAACACCAGGAACTAGAACCAGGAGTCCTGCTCCTCCCCCCAGGAGCATAAAGAGGTCATTGCAAGGAGCACAGCGTTCACGCTGGGCATGGCGCCCACTGTGATTCACACCCTACCAGCCTGGTTGATCCCCGACATCAGAAACACTGCCCCCCCCTCCATTCCCGCCCTATCAACCCTCACCCACAGATCACTCGATACCTGCTGGGCCCATTCTGCCACCTCAGCTTCCTTCACTCACTAGAAAACCCTGTGTGCCCCTGTGCCCAGGTCCACTATCAGGGGAGGACAGTGGTACCCACCACTGCCTTTAGTGGTACTCCTGCCTGCCTCTGGCCCAAAGTCCCTGCCAGCCCCTGGCTCAAAGTCCCTGCCAGCCCAAACTCCCCAGGATCCTAGATGCCCCAGCATCTCTTCAAACAACCCTGGTCCCTTCCATCCTTCTACTGCCTGTAAACCAGTAGGCTTGAAACCACTGGAGTCCACCACCCAAACTGGGGTTTGTCATCCAGCACCCCTGGAAAATCTCTCAGCCACAATCCCACCGCCCTCACAGGCATCTTTCCAGCTCCTCACTCACTCCCCACTCCGGGGCATTGGTCCAGGAAAGCAGGGCACACACAGCTCAAAGATCACAGGGAGTTGGTGGCCCCTACCCCCGCCCCCACCT